GCCCTGACTGGGAATCCAACCGGACCTGCTGGTTCATGGGTCCTCACTCAACACTGAGCAACACCTGCTTGATTCGAAGCCTCTCCTTGATGGGTCTGAGAAAATTTAGAAGTCCCTGTTGCCATCAGCAGTAGTTGTGTGCTTATCTAAAAACTAGAGGCCCCAGTGCATGAAATTCGTGCGTGGGGGTGGGGGGGTCTCTCAGCCCGGCCTGCACTTTCGCAATCCAGGACCCCTCTGGGGATGTCTGACTGCTGGTGTTTAGGCCTGATCCCACAGGGATCCCTGCGGGATCAGGCCTAAACTGGAAGCTGGACATCCCTCTCACAATCCGGGACCACTGGCTCCTAACCGCTCACCTGCCTGCCTGCCTGATCACCCCTAATCACTCACCTGCCTGCCTGATGCCCCTAACCACTCTGCCTGCCTGATTGCCCCTAACCACTCTGCCTGCCTGATCGCCCCTAACCACTCTGCCTGCCTGCCTGATCGCCCCTAACCGCCTCTGCCTTGACCTCCGCCACTGAGGCTTCATCTGGAATGACGTCCGGAAGGTTGTTCAGCTGTCTGGTCTAATTAGCATATTATGATTTTATTATTATAGATGATGTTTATTTCCAGCCTATACCAATTTGCCATGTGATTTTCAGGAAGTAAGTTTTGTAGGGTTTTTTTCTAATTATTTGTTCAGGTTTAAGAAAGCACATGATTATTTTGTGTGAAGTGTGATATTTCCTGTCTACAGTCTAGTCTCAAGACAGTTTTCAAATTACTTTTTATATCATTACTAGAGGCCCGGTGCACAGATTCATGCACTGGTGGGGTCCCTCAGCCTGGCCTGCGGGGATTGGGCCGAAACCAGCAGTCTGACATCCCCCGTAGTAGTGCGCGAAGCAGCAGGTGGCCTGGGAGGAGCCTGAGCATGGCCAGTGCCACCCCCACTCATTCTGGCCCCACTGCACCTGCCGCTGCTCAGCGCTGCCGCGGAGGCGGGAGAGGCTTGCACCACCGCAGCTGCTCTTGTCAGCCATGAGCTTGGCGTCTGGCACCCATGGGTCAGCTGAGCAACGCTCCCACTGTGGGAGAGCACTGACCACCAGGGGGCAGCTCCTGTATTGAGCATCTGCCCCCTGGTGTCAGTGCATGTCATAGCTACTGGCTGGTCATCTGGTTGCTTAGGCTTTTATATATATAGAATATATATAGATTACACTAATAGTTCAGTTATAACTTAATTTATTCTTCTCACCCACTTTTGAAGCTAATACATGTAGTGTGTGGCTTGTTAGATGGATGACAAAGATCCCGTGGATTTCATAAATTAAAAATCATAATAGCTTAGCCACCATGAATAACTATTCTCCTCCCTTCTAACATCAAAGATTAGTTTTGGCGATTTTTTAAATACATTTTAATGGCTACATAAAATTCTATCATTTGTATTTTGCTATAATTATTCATTCCTATGTTGTCGATTATCTTTCTAAATCTTTATTACAAGCATTGATGTTTCTCTCTCTTCCTCTCCCTTCCTCTCTGAAATCAATAAAAATATATTTAAAAAATTTAAAAACTGGGAATTGTTTTTGTTGTATTTCCGTTAGATTTTATGTATTTGTAGTTAGTTTTTATGTAGTAACTTTCCTAGAAGTGATGTTCCTCAGTGGAATGGCAATATCATTTCTGAAACTTCTTGTACATATTTCCAGTTTGTTTTCTGAAGTGGTTAAAGCAACTAATACACTCATAAGTGGTTTATGTGTTTTGTTTCACAACCCTCTAATAAAAGTTGGGTATTTTTATTTTCTTTTAAGCTTTACTATAGTAAGAAATGATATGGAAACTAGAATTTTAAGCTCACATTACTTCTTTTTTTTTTTAAAAAAAAATATATTTTATTGATTTTTTACAGAGAGGAAGGGAGAGAGATAGAGAGTTAGAAACATCGATGAGAGAGAAACATCGATCAGCTGCCTCCTGCACACCCCGCACTGGGGATATGTCCGCAACCAAGGTACATGCCCTTGACTGGAATCGAACCTGGGACCCTTCGTCCACAGGCCGATGCTCTATCCA